CCCCCCCCCCCGCCCCTCCTTCTCTTGGCCCCCGCTCGCCTGGCCCCGCGATCAGTGATGCATCCCCACAAGCCAGCAGGTGTCCGGCTCTCCGACAGGGAAACGGAAGGTCGCGCGCATCGGCCTTCGCGGCCGGGCCACCCTCCACCGGCACACACGCACACGGCCACCGGAAGCACGGCACCTTTTTTTCCCCTTCTCCCAGCGGGGCAGCCTCCTCCGGGCGCGAAGAAGTGCCCCCTCTCTCCTTGGCAATCCCGGGGGGGGGGGGGGGGGGGGGCTCTCCTCGCTCGCGCCAAGGGTGCCCGGCGCTCGGCCATGGACCTGCTTTGTGATGTACACCCTTCGGACGTTCGTCCTCGCGCGCAGAAAGGTCCGTGGACGAAATAGGGTGTTATGGCGCGACCTGCCCGGGTGCATCAAGATTCTCCGCCTGTCTGTCCATGACACCCGGGGGTCGTGTACCTTGGAGAGTGGAGCCGCAGCCAGCACCACCAGCACCGAGCACATGTCCCCCTCCACCTAGCTGCCCACGGCGCTTCGATTGGAGCTCACACATGCCGGCCCATGGCCAGCATATCCACCCACGCAGGGGCCCGCTCGCGATCGGTGCATATGTGCGCGTGGGAACACCCACAGCAGCAGCAGCAACAGCAGCCACACGGAGCTGGAGGGCGATGGCATGCACATCGGCCCACATGCCGCCCGTCCTCCTCGCATGGAGGCGGGCCCAGCTGGGTCAGCTGGATTGCCCCCAACACAGGTACCCCCCCCCCCCAGGGTCCCTCCTGCGCGCGGGTATGGCGCCTTCTCCCGGCAGCCCGACTCGGCGCCGCGCACCACGCGGGCGTAAGCAAGCACACACCATGGGCGTCCCAATGCCTGCGCGCCCCTTTGTCCGGCCAGAGGCTGCTCACCCCGCATGCGTGCGAGCCAATGTCCCACATGGGGGAAGCGAGCGGGCCCGACGAAGCAGAGCCGAATGCATGCACGAACCCTGGCAACAGGTGCCGCTGGATCCCTCGGGGGATCTCGCTCCGGCTGGGCCTCACACGCCAGCCGGGGAGCCAGGCAAGCCGCGACAGGGGCGCCGGTGGGCATGCTCTCCCGGCCAAATCACAGCCCCCACGTCCGGGCAAACAGCCACCCAGTAGGCCCCGGAGGGGAGCCGCACCCCGGCGAGAAGAAGGACACCGGCCAGCCTTTTTTTTTTTTTCGCGCGCGCCCCCAGGCGATGAGCTTTGTCATCTTGCAAACATGCCCCGTGCAATGGGGCCCGGAACCCGAGTCGCCGCCGCGGGCAGGTGCGGGTCCGCGCCCGCGCGCTCGTCCACAGCACAGGCTGCGACACACCCGAGCCAGGTGCCAGCAAAGGGCAACGCAGGGAGGGGCAGGCCCGGGACCGGCCATGTCGCCGACGCTGTGCCCCCCGGGGGGGGGGGGGGGGGAGGCCCAGCGCGTCGACAGAGTCCGCAGCAAGCAAAAAAAATGGCCCCGCCTCCCAGGGCATGCGCAGGCGGCGCAAGGGCGAGGCAGACGGAGGGAGCCAAAGCACGGCCCGCGCCGCATCGTGTGCCTTGCGGGCCGGGCCAGACCCACGGCGAAGGTGGCCGCTTTGACACCCGCACCACGGCTCGACGCGCCCCGCGCGCCCGGGGGCCGCCTTGCCCTGCCGGCCGGGACCAGCGGAGGTGCCCACAGCGCGGGGCACGATGTTTAAATTTCCAATCGGCATGGCGGCCGGCCCGTTGTCACTTTCCACCATCGCCCCTCCGAGCGGATGGGCAGGCCGGAGCGCGGTCGAGCCCCGGGCCGGGAGCAGCGCACACACGCGCGCCCCGGGGCACTTCCGTCCATGGCCGCCGACGGCGGGCCCCCGGTCCGGCCGGGAGACTGGGGCGTCGGCGATCGCACCACGGCCGCCACGCGGACCACCTCGACTCCCGTGCCACCCCCAAGGCCGGCCGCCCAGCAACCACCCACCCGGCCACCCTGGCGAACATCCGCCGGCCAACAAAGCCGGACGCCCGCGGCCCTGCCCCCGGCGCGACAAGGCCCCGGCGCGCGATCTCCATCAGCGACATCAGCCCCCGCCCCCTCACGCACCCACCGAAAACACCGCAAAAACTGCCGGGAGCCCGACCAGAGCGAATGCCCCCCTCGCCGGGGCTGACCTCGTAGAAGGAGGCGCCCCAGAGCCCCAGCCAAGGCAAGGCACTGTTCGGGCGAGGGGGGCTTCCCCGGGGACGGGGGGCAAGAAGCCGGGCCGTCGCCGGTTATGGCTATGGTTGCTCGACCGTGCCGGCTTGCGCGCGTGTCGCGTGGCGATCGGCCCGAGAGCCGGGTGCTGGCCACGCGAATGACGCTACATCCGCCGAGACCCCCCCCCCGGGCAGGCCCCTCTTCCGGCGGACGACCATCAAAGGCATGGCGTCGATCTAAGACACAGGGCGACGGGGGGAGGGGGGGAGTTCCAACGAGCACCCAGCCAGTACCCGGCCAGTACCCGGCCAGTACCCGGCCAGTACCCAGCTGTCCGTCGACCCGTGGGGCCGGAGCAGAAGGGCGCCGGCCTTTTGCCCGGGAATATACTTGCCCATGTATTATTGCCCCTTTTTTCCCCGATCAGGACCCAGACCAACAGAGGGGGGCACCCCACCCGGAACCGCCCCGGCCCTGCTCGCCTGTAGTGGAATCCCCATGTAAGCTGTGAATAGAGCAACACGTGAGAGTATCCACCTCACGTGTTAAACCAAAGAAGGACAAAGTTCCAATAGCATTCTCTTGATCGAGAATGCGGGGTTGGATAACGGCCCAGGTGGCCCGGCGAGGTCGAGCGGTGTAGGCGCTCGACCAAGCGTGGAGATACGCGGGGGGGGACAAGTCCCACCGCGGGGTTCTCAGATCCACCCCTTGACCTATCCCAAAGGTCAAAAGGGGGGCTCCCGCAAGGGACCTCCCGAGAGTGAAGACCTTAGCAGCTGTGTGTCGAAGAGTATACGAAAGTATAGCTGAAACACCAGTCAAGTCGACGAACACCTGTTCTAAGGCTTCCTCTCGAACCCCTTTTATTTATTCGAGTTTCTCTTTCTATTTCGCTTGCCACTAACTCGACTCAAACCGAGTTACTGACTCACTCTGGAAACAGACGACCGTGAACCGCTGGTTGGTATGTTCCCTTTATTCATGCCTAGAGGTTACTAACCGGGTGGCAGATCACACTGGTACCCTTCGTCAAGCTTCACTCACTTGACTTAGGCTTAACCCGTGTGAACCCTGCTACATCGCCCCCTACACGTGCCCCGAGGGCGTGCACGTGAGCACAGGACACCGCGGGGCCCCATCCTGGAACATACCTCGCGGCCATGTCAATGGTTGGGGTCTTGGGGCGGAGAGGGGCCCCCCACCCTTGGTGCGATTCTCCGTTCCACCCCCGATCCCAATTCTCAGCCCCTCTCCTTCCGAGGGCGCCTCGCCCCCCCCTTCCGGGGCTGCCCCTTTGCCGGACATTCGCCGCCCATTCGGGCCCGACTGGGCGGTCCGATCCCGCCCCCTCCGGACAACCTTGCGGCTGCCGGTCGGCTCGCCCGGTTCGCCAGCTCACTGTGCCCCGGCCGGCGGCGAATGCCCGGCAGAACAGCCGTCAAAGCCGCGCCCCTCAAGTGACCACCGCCCAAACCCGCCAGCACCCGGCCGGGTCATTTCCCGGACACAGGCCCCCGGCTAGACGGCTGATGGGTGAGTGGTACGGGGCGCCGTCTCGTTCCTCGGGCCAGGGGAGCGGCTGCGCAGCGACGACGCAGGGCAGAGGGGCACACGGGCCCGGTCGTGGGGATCTCCGGTCCGGCTCTTCGCGGCCAGGCCGGGTCCCCAGGGATCAACAATGG